CCCTTTCTTTAGACAATGTAAGTGTATGTGAAACTCACCAAATTGAACACAGAGAAATACTATCTCATCTGGTATATCTTTAAAGAGACATTAAGGAAGCACAATATACCCTAAATCAGAACAAGACCAGAGCTCAATTATGGAAGTCACAATCAGTTCTTCATATAAAGTCTAATTTGAAGATGAAGAAAATGAAAAGCAAACGATGGCAACCAAAGTATAATCTTGAGTATATTTTATTGAATTTAGAGATCATCTTAACACTAGACATAGTGATCTGCTTACAAGAAAAAATTAGTTAATAAAGAAACAAAACAACTGTATGGAATACTTGTACTCTATGACACATGGGGTTGTTATGAATCAGAATTAATTTAGAATGGGAATGAATTTAAGTTGGGAATGCATGTTAAATTAATTATACGAAGTTACATTTTATTTTTTTTCAGAATCATTGCACAAGTAATATAAGGTAATCTCAGCTGCTACAGTTGTTCATTTCTGTCCTTGTTGCTTGATTTTTTAGAAATACTCTTTTATTGGAACAATAATGTGGTTACATGTTATTAAAAAGTGTTCACTTTACATATTTTTCCCTTTTTTTTAGAGTAGTATATCAAGTAGAATAAACATGAATAGACATTGTCTTGGAAGGAATTGGTGGAAAGACTGTAATAATATAAGCAATATTCAATGCAAATATTTGCTAGCAAAACTAAGAGAGAATACACCTTTAACAAAAGATTACTTTATAATGTAATGGGTGGGGAATGTTAAATGTAAACAAATCTGTATAATCTTTTTATTCATTTCAGATCTCATTACTCTTCCCAGCCAGGATTTATTTAAATTCAACTTCTTCATAATGACAAATGAGTGCTATTAAAATTTCAGCTGGAAACGCCAGGTAAGAATTGTGAAAACCTGCATGCAAAGTATTAAATAATGTATATTTCTGTTTATTTTCTGTTCTCTTCCAAAAGGAATAACAATTACTAACATGAATGTAGATTTATTTTATTTCTTCCCCCTTGCAAAAAGTTTTAGTTCTATTTTAATAAAATAATTTTTGTCCAGATTTTTGCTTTAAAAAAGTTTTATGCATTATATAGCAATAAGCTGACAATTTTATCTAAATGTAAATTCATTGATCTCTAAAAATACAATCAACCAGTGTAGAGTCCATTCTTTCCTTTAGGAATAGAGGAATAGATTACAAAATTTACATAGTATATTGAAATAGTACAAGGGGGTAAAGAGGAGTTAAAAATTCTCTTTAACATAATGTGTGTTTCAGAATGCACAGTGCCATTCATTGGTGTGTCTTTTATTAATATTGTGTAATGGATTTTTAAAATATTTATAAGCTTTTCCCCCTTTTGTCCATGTATATGTATATATATATAAATGTTGTTGATTGTTGTCAAGTCGAGCACAACTTCTAGCAACCTTACTAACAAAAGGCCTGAAGCCCTTCAATAACTATCGTCATTTATCAAAATTCAGTTTCCAGAGTTGTTTAGGAAGTGGATGCCATTCCTGCTTCCTCTATATATCCACTTAGACATAGAAAATACGTCTGTGTATATGTTGTTGTTGTTGTTGTTCTTAGGTGTAGTCAAGTCAAGTACAACACTTACTAACCCTTGAACAACAGATCTGAACTCTGTCCTATCCTGTGCCATCCTTACAAACGCATATGTATATGCAAAATACGTTTTGTAAAATGATAAAATCACTTTAAGATTAATGAAAAGAATGGCTTAGTTTTTCAATAAAAAACACTTTAGAGCCCTTGGCTTTTTTCCAAACTACTTTTTTTACAACCTTTTAAAATCTAAATATCAAAAGAATTTCTTAGTTTTATTTTTCCTATTACTATGCAAAATATAAAATAATGCAAAATTTAACCTAAATTGTTTGGTCTAGAAGGTTAAATATCTCATATATTGACCACACTGACCACAGATGTGTTCTATAAAAAAAAAACAAAAAAACAAAACGAAACCACCAACCCAAACAAAATAAAAACTTACAAAAATAGCCTAGGAGTTGAGTTACATATACCACTGGCTGCCTTTATGTGCAATGCTCACTTCTATTTATGTTTTCCCTCTCACCATCTGAGTCTACATACTCCACACTCTAGGATGAACATAAAATATCACAGCTATCACAAAGCTTTGTATGCACATCTAGGTTTGTCACCAAGAAAAAAAAATCTGAAAACTATCTGTACCTTCAGAATTCTGAAAGCATTTACTAGCTTCACTTGAAGGCACTGTAATTTGCTCAGATTAAGAGGATGAGAATAGATTGTAAGTGAGATAGTGTCTTTTATTCCAGGCACTATAATTGTTCAAAAATAGTGTTTTTAAAATAGATACCCATTTATTTTATATATTATTACATAATGTGTAGTATTCAATGCATAGTTATCAATTTACTTTATTACAGAAAATTTTACATTCATATTATTTTATAGTCACAACAATCTCATAAATGATTTTTTATTTTCATTTTAAAAATTTGGGAACTAAATAAATGCTAACTAATTGATAAACCATAGGTCATAGGATTATTTAGTTTACTTAATAAACAAGTATTTTTTATTCCTTATCATCATGCTGAATCTAATACATTATACTCTTTTGATTTATTTCCTGATAGATGATCAACTTGTTCTAAGAACTGTCCTATTGTTTTGTTTCTATTAACTGGTGGTGTGCATTGCTGTTGTTAAGCTACTGTTGAGTCTGTTCTAATTCATAATTGCTCATAACTCAAGCACAATAGAGGGAAGCACTGCCCAGTTTTAAATGATCCTAAGAATTATTGCTATGTTTTAGTTAATTGTTGCAGCCACTGTATCAATTCCTCTCATTTAGAATTTCCCCCGCCCCATCTGTATTTCCAAGCATGATAGCCCTCTCTATTCACTGGTCTCTCTTGAAAACGTGTCAAGTAAATTAAACAGGTCACCTGTTTTAAATCCCAAAAGTGTTTTGGCTGCACTTCTTTGATGACAAAAATGTGTTTGTTCTGGCAGTCCGTGTTGTATTTAACATTTGTTACCAAAACCAGGATTCAGAAGTGTCACTTCTTTGGTCTCCTTATTCTCTATGGGGTTATTAGATATATAAGAAAAGACTGAAACTATGATGACTTGAGTCAGGTGCTCTTTAATCTTCAAGGTAACATTTTTGCTTTTTAACACTTAAGAGTTGTTCTTGGAAACAAATTTGCCCAATGCAATACATTGTTTTATTTCCTTAATGTTGCTTTCATAAATGATGATTGTGTTGATTGTGGGTGCAAGTAAAATAAAAAACTTGACAACATCAATCTTTTTTCCACGTATCATAATGTTGCTTATTGGTCCAATTGTGAGGAATTTTGTTTTCTTTATATTATCTATACTGAAGGCTGTAATGCGGTCTTTTGCTGAAATTAATTACTATACATAGCAGGTACCTAATAAACATATATTAACTCAATGAAAGAACAGGGTTTTTTTAATAACATTGGATTTGATTTACTGCTAATCAATATAAATTATGGTTCATTTTTAATTTATTGCATCTCATTATAATTATTTCAAAGTCTTTTGCAAAATAACTACAGAGGCCTGAACTGTGTACTTAATACAAACTGAAGCTGTGTACTCAAGTACACAGAAGCTAACCAAAGATTCTAGCTTAAATGTTCAATCTCACCACTTTGTTCCGGGAGGAAAATGACTTGCCGGTCTGTGTCTAAAGATTTATAGCCTTGAAAACCCTATGTAAAAAATCTAATCCATCACCTTTGTGTTGACCTGATAACAATAGTGGTTTTTCTTTTTATTTTATATACAAAAAACTATGAACCAGGCTGGCAACAATAGATTGTCATTCTGAACACACTCAAAATCTTGCTGCAGAAGACTTTGAACTGAACTCACTGACATCAAAGGAAACTACTTCTTCAAAAGAATTTAATGATTTGCCAAGTTTATACTGAAAAGCTATAAAGAAGTGAGGCCTGGATACTTTATGACCGTCTGCTCTCTCCTATCTGCACTTTGTGGTCTGCTTTGTTATATTTGAGCGTTATTGTTTTAATTAAAGAGTAATATTTTATGACAGAATATTTTTTATATTATAAATCAGATTAAACAATTTCAAGATGGCAATATAGAATTTCTAATTTTAACAACTATATTAACATAAAAAGTTATCTTTCCTTATTCATAGGCATATTTATACTACACATAATTTTCACATAAGCCATTATTTTGCTTGGATAACTTGACCCTACATTGTCCAATGTTACACAGATTTATATTATATATTTTACATTATCATCACATATTTTTCAACAGTCTGTAATTTTTACGTTGTTTTTACGTACTGTCTAGCTGGAACCAAGCAGTCGCTGACACTCTCTGAGATTTCAGAGGCAATAAATCACACGAGAAGAAACTGTCCATCTTTCTTTGTGGAGTAGTTGGTGTATTCAAACTGTCTCTCTTTGGGTTGGCAACACCGCTTCTTACCACTCAGCCACCAGAGATTCCTAATAACTGTAGAAGATACATGATAACCTCTGATGGGGCAATATATTCTAATGGTTAATGTAACATTGTTGTTGTCAGGTGCCATTGAATTGAGCACAGCTCATAAAATCCTGTGAGCAACAGGCTTGGATCATAATCTATCCTGTGCCATCCTCATCATCCCTGACACACATGAGCCCGTAACTGCAGTCATTGTGTCAGTCATCTCAGTGGGGGTTAATACAATAGACTGATTAATACAAGAGAGCCACAGGATTACCATACTCGATTATCTTAATTTTCTCTATGAACTTGGAAAATTATTCAATCTTTATAAGTAGTAGTTCTTTCTATTATTTATCAGTAATGTAATTCATAATCTTCTGAACAAACGGCTTATGTCTATTTTATATATTTATTTGTTTTTATGACTAATTCATTAACATATCTTAAAGTAATAACCAAACTATATTTACTATACTTGTATTTCATGCTTAATAACTATTATCTTTGTCATATTTAATCTATTTAAAGACTATTTTACTAATACTTAGTTGTTGCAAATACATAATGTACAATACATAATGTAGAAAAGGTTGAGGTAAACTTTAACACTAGCCATGTTTATGACTGAATTCTAAACCCATACTTGGGTGTAGAGTTGAAGTAGTCAATGGTTTCAAACAATTTAATGGTAATAATTTAAAACTGAAAGATGAAAAAGAACAACACAAAAAGTATTTAAGCATCAATTTTAACAGAAAAATCAGAGAGCAAGAATCATAATTAAAATGAAAACAGTAAATTGTGAAGTATTAAACCTTAATTATACATATAGGACTACTGATACCACTTGGTAGAGTCAAAGCGTATAATGTATTTAATTAAAACTAAGAAATATTTTTAACTTTGTTCTTTTTTTCCTTTCTTTTGGAAGTAGAAGAATCCATTTGTTTCACATCTTACCAAATCTACTCCAAGGCCCATAATGTTATACAAGATTATCCTACTGCTATCTCTTCAGATAAGCCTCCTAGGAACAACTGATGGTGGGAATGTTTTGATATGGCCAATGGAAGGTAGTCATTGGCTAAATATTAAGATAATCATAGATGAGCTTATTAAAAAAGAGCACAATGTTACCGTCCTAGTTGCCTCCGGTGCACTCTTCATCACACCAACTAAAAAATCATCTCTAACCTTTGAAGTATATAAGGTATCCTTTGGAAAAGAAAAAGTGGAAGGTGTAATAAAGAGTTTTGTTTTGACATGGCTAGAAAATAGACCATCTCCTTCTACCATTTGGACGTTCTACCAGGAAATGGCCAAAGTCATTGAAGACTTTCATATGATATCTAGAGAAATTTGTGATGGTGTTCTACAAAATCCAAAGCTGATGGAAGAACTAAAGAAAGCCAAGTTTGAAGTCCTGGTATCAGATCCTGTATTTCCTTGTGGTGATATAGTAGCTTTGAAACTGGGGATTCCGTTTATGTACTCCCTGAGGTTTTCTCCAGCCTCAACAGTGGAAAAGCATTGTGGGAAGGTACCATACCCTCCTTCCTATGTTCCTGCTGTTTTATCAGAACTCTCCGACCAAATGTCTTTCACTGATAGAATAAGAAATTTCATCTCCTACCACCTACAAGACTACATGTTTAATACTCTTTGGAAATCATGGGATTCCTACTATACTAAAGCTTTGGGTATGTAATAATTTTCATTTTATTATTTGACTTTCAAAAGAACTTCATGCCATTTCGTATTTATTTTTCTATGACTATTCAGTATACTGTTACTATCACATTCAATTATACAAAAATACATCTATGTTTTGGAATAAACATTGTGAAATCTACTAACTTCTTAGACTTTAAAGATAAAATTTATGACTTTTTATGGCTAATATATTTTAATTTTAAAAATATCAGTGATGGAACTTTGTGGTTGCACTTCAAAGTAGTTAGTTGTTCTTTTGACAGTTCATGGGTATATTCCAGATCCTTTGCTAACATGATAATTCATTTTCTTTTTTAAGGAGCTTCATTCAAATCAGATTTAGTTTTTCTCTTTTAATTTTTATATTTTATTTTTTATTATTACACTAGTTTATTTACAAAATCGAAATACATTGTTTTCCAGAGAAGATGATTCCAATTTTCCTAACCCCCAACCCATCATATTGTACAGCCCCATGATTCCCTTTCCCTATGAACATCCTCATCCCTGTGCTTCCACCCCTCTCTTGGATCCTTATACCCATTCTACAATAATAGTTGTTCTTTTCACATTTCGTGGGTACGTTCCAGAATCTTTGCTAACGCTACAATTCAATATCGTCAGTTCTTCCTTTATATACCTCATTGTACAACTTTTACAAGCATATGAAACAACTGGACACCTTGATTGAGTCATGTACACCTTATTTATGATGATCTCCTCACATTTCAGCATTTTGAAAAGACCTGGGGGGAAAAATTGTCCAATGGAATCAATCTTTTGTTTTCTTCACTGATGCTTCCATGGGTGGTCATTGTGGATCAAAATGAAATTAAATTATTAACAGCTTCAATCTTTTTTTTCATTTATCATGATATTCTTTATTGTTCCAGTTGTGAGGATTTTTACTTCTGTTAGGTTACATCACGTTACGTTACATTACGTTATATGACTTAGACTAAATAAAGTTTTGTTGCTAACCCAAATGCGGTACCTCTCTAGCATCCAGTAGCAGCTTTACAAGAGGAAGATTGATTAATCTCTTCATATGTGACTTGCAGTCTCAGAAACCCGGTAAAGTGTTAGCTAAAAGTTGCTTTTGATTCAATGGCAATGAGTTTGTGTTATGTTAAGGTATACAATATATTTTCTTTAGTAGGCGCTTCAAGCTCTCTTCATTTTAAACTAGAGGTAACAAATATTCTGTAGAGATAGTTATTATGTCTCAGTAAGTAGCAGTGTGGAAAACTTCAAAACAGGAGTAGTGTACAAGGATACATTTAAATAGTGACTATGAGGTTTCTGCAAATTGATTGTGAGGCAGTTAATAAACTGTCAGTATATCCAGAGTCCCAAAATCTCTAAAAGACTCAGCTATGTGGAATATTAATGATGATTCCATGTAGTTTTTAATTGGGTTTCATATAATGATTCACTTACATTGTATATCAATCATTCATACACATTGTATTTTATATAATGACTATTGTCATTAATCTATGCCTATTGTTATCTTTTCAAATTTCCATGGAATCTTTACTTTTCTTTCACAATCTCTATCTACAAACTAAAAACTCTGCTGTACTACTAATTTTAACCCTTTCCTTCTGGACATTTTACACATCTTACTAGTCAACACTCTATTTTTACAATAATGGATTTATGCGGTATTTATCCTTGTGAGACTAAGTTAGTTCACTCAGCATAATGCTTTTCAGACTCTCCAACATTGTTGTTGCTATTGTAATGAGCCGTCAAGTCACCTGCGACTCATAACGACTCTGTGTACAACATACCTAAATCCTGCTCTATCCTGTGCCAATCCTATTGTCTCCAACACACCTATCCTCATTACTCCATTCACTGAATCAATCCATCTCATCGAGGGTCTTCTTCCCCTGCACTGTTCCTCTACCCTCCCAAGCATGATGTACCTCTCCAAGGACTGGTCCCACCTTGCAACATATCCAAAATATGGCAGATTAACCTTCAGAATTCTTGTTTCCAAAGAGCAGCCTGGCTTCACCCTCTCCAAGATAAACTTGTTTGTTCTCCTAGCAGTCCATGGTATATTCAATACTCTTCTCCAGCACCACAATGCAAAGGCATCAATTCTCCTTCTATCATCCTTAGTCATCGTCCAGCTTTCTGATGTATAGAAAGTAATTGCAAAGACTATGGCTCACCTTAGTCTTCAGACTGACATTGTTGCTCTTCAGTACTTTGGAGAGGTCTCAGACAGCAGACTTTCCCAGTGCAATTTGTCTTTTAATTTCCTGTCTGTAAACAATCTCAATCTCTTCACCATCTATCATGATGCTGCCAATCAGCCCAGTGGTGAAAATCTTTGTTTTCTTGATAGTGAGTTTCAATCCATATTGAAGGCTGCAGTCTTTGACACTCTGCATTATATATTGTTAATATGAAATTGTTTTTTCTTAGTGCTTTATAGGATTCCATTGTATACATGTACCACAATTTCTCAATCCATTCATTTGTTTATGGACATCTGGATTTTTTCCCATTTTCTCGCTATTGTAAATAACACTGCTATGAACAGAGGTGTGCATATCTCTGTTTGTGTCTTAGTTCTGTTTTCCTTAGGCTATATTTATAGCAGTGGAATAGCTGGGTCATATGGGATTTCTATGTCCAGCATTTTGAAGAAATATCAGAATGCCTTCCAGAGTGGTTGTACTATTTCACAATCCTACCAGCAGTGCATGAGAGTTCTGATCTCTCCACATCATCCTCTCCAAAATATATTGCTTGCTCTCCTGTTAAATTTTCTTACTGCTCCTAGAACAAGATGGCATCTCATTGTTGCTTTGATTCATATCTCTCTTGTTGCCAGTGATTTTGAGGATTTCTTCATGTGCATGTTGATCATCTGAAAGTCTTGTTTTGTGAAGTTTTTCTATGACTTTTGTCGATGTTGTTATTCTGTTTTGAGTTTTTCTCTTGTGGAGGTCCTGAAGTATTCTGAAAACTTTCATTATGAGACCCTTGTCTGAAATGCCATTGCTATTTCCCCACCCCACCCCAGTCATAGGTTTTCTTTTCACTCTATTGGAAAATATTTTTGATACACAAAGGGACATAATTTTTAGAAAGTCCCATTCACCTATTTTATCCTCTCCTAGTTGTCCAAACTCAGTGTTTCTTCAGAACAAAGCATTTAGAGTGGAGGGATTACTGAAATTGCAAAAATTAATTAATTCAATATAAGGACATCGTGCTTGGGAGGGTGGAGGGACAATGTAGGAGGGGAAGGCCCTCTATGAGGTGGATTGATTCAGTGACTGGGATAATCGGGATGGGAGTGTCGGAGACAGTGTGATTGGCACAGGACAGAGCAGAGTTTAGGGCTGTTGTACATAGGGTCGCTATGAGTCTCAAGCGACTCGACAGCACATAACAACAACAACAACAACATACATATCAAAGCACCTTTTATGCAATGTTAAGCACTTGATGTTTTATATAATAAGCAATTGGAACCGTATAAAAGGTTGTATGATGACCACTGTCGTCCTGGTGGCACAATACAAAGCATTGAACTGCTAACTAGAAGATAGGCTCAAATCTACTGACCAGTCCTAGGGAAAAAGATGTGACAATCTGCTTCCGTAAAGAGTTACAGCCTTGGAAACACTATATGGTAGTTACATTCTAATGTACAAAGTTATTATGAGTTAAAATTCAACCAGAATTTTTTAAATTTTATTATTTTTATAATATACCTGGATGTATCTGGAAACAGTGCAATGAAGTGAGTACATAGGCTACTATTTGGAAAATAGCTTATGACTGGAGTAAAATAATACCATTTGAGAAGTTAAGGAACTCTGATAATATCACTCATTATGAGCTGGACTGCTAACAGAAAGGTCAACAATGGTTGGAATCCATCAGCCACTCCATGGAAGAAAAGTAGATAGTAGACTTATATCCTTGGAAACTGAAGTCTACATAGTAACACAATCAAGAAAACGGGATTTTTATAGGCAGTTTTCTATTTTTGGTGTAAGACAGCCTCATGTTACTTGAATCCACAATCAATACAAATGATACCAGCAGTCAGGAAATCAGATGTATTTCACTAAGAAAGTCTGCAGTCAGGAACCTCTCCAAATTATTGAGGTGCAATGATATCATTTAGAGAAATAAGGTTTGCCTGATTCAGATGATTCAATCACTTTCTATGCATCTGAGACCTGGACAATGAATAAGGATGACTGAAGAAGAATTGATCCCTTTGAACGGTGGTATTGGATAAGAATGTTGAAGATCTCATGTACTGTCAAAAGAACATACAGATATGTCTTGGAAGCAAAGACAATAAAACTTCATTTCACATAGTTGGGCATATTGTTAGGAGAGGCTATTCATTGGAGAGTGATGTCATGTTTGAGAGGTAGAAAGACAAGGTAGGAGAGAAAGATCCGCAACCAGGTGAATTGACACAGTAACACAGTGACTGCAGCAATGGGCTTAGTTGTGTCAGAGATTGTAATGATAGCACAGAATAGGGCAGGATTTGCATCTATTGTTCACAGATTTGCTGAGTTTTATTCATCTCAAAGGTACCTAACAACAACAACAACAACATTATTAGTGTGTGACAAGAGAAATAATTCAATCTCTTTCCACTTGCACTTCAGTTTTAACATCCATCCTAGGGCTGATGAAGGATCTGAACTACTGTTGCTGTTGTTTGTTGTTGAGGTGGAACCAATTTGTAACTGATGATCTAACAGTTTTTCAGAGGAGTATTTCACTTGGGAGGAGTTTCTCCATCTAAACTAATTTTAGTATAGTGATAATATGTTGTTACGTGCCATTGAGTCACTTCAGACTCCTATCGACCCTATGTACAAGAGCCCTAAATGCCATTCTATCCTGTGCCAACCTCGCCGTTAAAAACACACTCATTTCCAGCACTCCACTCATAGAATCAATCCATCTATCTCATCGAGGGTCTTCC